GACAGCAAGCACAGTGCTGTGTAGCACCGTATATGGATAACGACTCGTCTATCTATTCGTACCGCATCCGATCCATCTTCTCAGGTCGTCAGTACGACGCGAGTTTGAAAAAAAAGTAGTATGAAACTATGCGACACTCTGATCGGTTGAAACGAGAGGTGTGGTGTTAATACATTATAGCTGGACGTATGCACTCGACGAGAAAGTGCAAACCTGCCCCTCCCATAGGTTAGATGATTAGGCGTTTTGCGCTCACCAACCAATATTCCCCACTTCCGCATCATTGCATGGGACCACCTGCTGTTGATAAGTTGTCTATATCACATAATGGAAGCAGCGATCTGACAACGTTTCAGATCATAAATCAATTAATCATGTATCATACCGTTCTTCTCGGAAATTTTCTTCGGAATTTCTTGAATAAACTTCAAAAAGTGTAACTTCGTCGCCTTTCATTTCTTGCAGTTCCTCCCAGTTACATTTGAAATTTTTCAGTTGTAGATAGGTGATGGCCAGTCCAAGTTGAAATCCCTCTATGATATCAAAACGAGACAGTACATTGGAAATACAACGATGGATCCAGAGCTAGCATTCATCCAGGTACGAAAATGTGGGCTCATACTATTCGTTTCTGAGAAGTGTGAGAAGTATGATGAACAAAAGAATGTTGAATGAACCGTGCCTTCGAGCATGGTTTGTCCGAATTACTCATTTATAGAACAGGGACCGTCGTTCTCTCCTGTTTATTCGCTATACGTGCCTGTTTTCTTTTCCTTGCTCGACGGCTTACTCTTGTTGTTCTATAGAATGATGTAAGTTGGGTTAAGATGGGAGACAAGCTTCTCTATGGTATGCTGACTGGGGTTTCTTACTAGGCAATGTTTGAAAAATCTGAGGAATCCTTTCGTCCAGATCCTCATTCTTGCTAAGTCTTAGAATTCCGTGAGAAAAACCACGATGCTCCACCGTTCCGAAGCTATGTAATGCTTCTTTCGCTATGCGATTTATAGGCGTTCATTATTGTTCTGGTTGTTCGATATCAGCCCCTGTCACCTGGTCTCCACCTGATAATAGTTGCTCTGGGAGGGGGCGCTCAGGCAGGTAGGGGGCGCTAGTCGCTCTTCCTTGTAATTGTGCTTATGTTGCCCAATGGGTTCTATTCAGAAACAAAATGCATTTAATATCTTTTGTTCAGAGCATTAGCTGTTCTATATAGCGTTGTAAATATCTTTCGTCCATGATTTCTAGGGCAATATCACTTCGATTAGGCCGAACGACCTAGTATTGGATCCATTCATGGGCACAGGTACTTTATTTCGTGACATAGAACTACTGATAAAATACCTAGTTGTTGCGTGTTAGAAACTCGTTTCAGGTGGATTGTTGCTTCCGGCTGCTGAGTTTGGTGCTTATACCATTGGCACGGAAATTAACTACCAAATAGCTAAGGCAATCGGTTCGTGGTCTCTCTGATTGGGAAAAGTGGTGTTTCTTCAGTTCTGAACTTTTTGCTGTAATCGTTCTTGATTTTGCAACCGTTCGTATGCTTTTCCAGAAATCTTCATTCATTTTAACAAACTCACATCATACATGATAATCTATAAAGTGAAATCATTGCGTATTTATAACCCATTCTTGACAGAGGTGAAGTAGTGGCAACTGCCGACGCTTACTATGTGCGGTGCACCATTTGTGTGGGGAAAGTAAAAGCATTAACTTGCACATGACTTTTATTGGCCACACAGCTTGAAAACAGCTACTACGATAATGGAAGCATTACTTTTCATCTCCTTTCGCAGGCGGCACGAAAGTCATTGTAGATAACTAATCTTTTTATGTTTCGGATGCGAAGCTTATAAAGCAACAATGTTGCACATTATGAATTTAAAGAAAGTAAACTCGGCGCTGATTAGTCCTATTTTTGACTAGGGAAACAATAGATTTTTTCATTAGTATCCGTAGCATTTTTGTTGCCTATTTGGTTTCTCCAGTAGTTTGTGAAGCTCCGATACGCATTTCAACGTTATTATCCCAAAAGTGTGTGGTACCAGATAATTGATCTCGGTGTGAGGTAGAGGCCTGTTGGCCTGGCGAAAGTTAGACTTCCTTAAGTATTTGATCCCAAGCTCATATGTGTGGTATACGAGCCTCTTGCAGTACCTCATAATCGTCCGCGATTTATCGAAATAAATGCGATTGAACGCCATTGACAAGTTGTTCTTTTTGAGGGTGAATTGTTGTTGATGTCGTCATTCAGGAAAATCCTCTCGTCATGATATGTTGATGCGATCGAAAGAAGAAAGTGTTAAGGCCAACTTCGAACAGTATGGCACGGACCGATATTATTTAAGCGGTATCCTGGCCGATGCTTGCTGGCATGATTTGTGGGCAAGGCCTGTCTTCAACGCTATTGTTACAGATCGTACGTTTCTAACTTGATGCTGTACAATAAACGCATTAAAGGCAGTGGGCACGATGACGCGGGACCGGCGATGCTGCTAACGTCATTGGTAGAAGGGCTGAGTGAGGTGTGGGCAAACGCCATCTCGCAGTCCTTCCACCAGTGACGGTAACCGCCCTCCACAGCCATCGTGCCCACTGTGGGACAAGGCGACTGCTTCCATGTCTGCGCGTGGGACAAGGCACTTTTTCTCTTTGTTTTTTTCAAAATACGAATAGATGCTAGGACACTTATACACCAAAACTATGGGAAGAGGACTAGAACTCAATACGGAAGGTGGGAAGGCTCCGCTGACTTGATCAAACTCTACTTCGCTGCGGACGGCTGGGCGTGTCAGGCAGTATGAGTGTTTCACGCCGTTTAAGTCGTTGTCTGCCTTATGTTGAGCGCGCTGCGGACAACCAGTGGTTAGAGAACGGTAATACGAACGACGTGATACAGCGTTAACCTTGCTCGCTTTAGGAATGGTGTGAGAACGAGTCTGGCACCGCCTCAAGTTCATCCCGCCTGACACACCCAGCCGTCCGCAGCGAACTACACTACACCTTCGAGATAAGCCACAAATGTTCATAGTATACTCACCAGCCTCGTCCACGTGGGAAAGTGGAGCAAGCTCCACGAAACGTCATAAAATTTCGCATCAGGACTCGTAAAGAGAATCGATTTAGTCTTCCTGTCTGTCAAAAGCTACAACGTCACGTTATCTATACCTATCACTTATCTGCATATGGGGCGTTAGCTCTATATTTCCGAAAATTACCTTTTCCTTCCAGAGAGATTGCATCCGTGTATCTCTTAGGTAAGTTACCCTTGCTGATACAGCTGAATAGGTTACACCCACCATATATTAGGTTGGCGGGAAAGTTCTGTCATATATTTTTGAACCCAAAATATTTGCTAATTTTCTGAAAAGCGTTAACCGGTAATATGAGCACTTATACATCAAAGAATGGTCTTTCTATTGGTATCACTGGCTTGACTCCTGCCTCTCCTTATCGTGCAATATGAACAAGAATGTTATCCGCTACCTTTGGCACCGACCCCTCCAAGTGCTTCCTCAAACTCTTTCTTCTACCGCCCTGGCGCCAGCATGACAGCTGTCGACGCCGAAATAACGGAGCTGCACATGGACAATGTCTACAGTCATCTGACAATCTTCCACGACGCTGGCTCTTCAGAGCGGGAGGCTACGGTGCGAATGGCGAAGTGATGTTTGGGAGTACCTGTGATCTCAGCTTGAGATAGCTGTGGGCCGGGAAACTACTGTATAAAGAAGCTGTCTCCTCGGTTAATCCGTACGCAAGGCAGCTACGAGATCTGAAGCGATCGTCAGCAGAGGGCAAAATCCATCGGCACAGTCCGTCTTCAACGTGCTGGTGCAGCACACCCCGTCAAAAAAGTTTCGAGCCGTACTTCATGCAATAGAGCTGGATGGCTCTCCCCTTGCACTGGTGTACCCCAGACATTGCTCTTTCTGACTGCTAGTCGCCTCCCGTATTTAACCGTTATACAGCCGAGAAAACCTCCACGACTTGAGCCCAAGTCAAAGTGAGATGATGTCCAACATTGCGTCGTGCCAGCCTCCATTGTGAAGCGATGGCATCCACGAAGTGCTCGAAAACTGGCAGGGATTCCGCAATGACATTGCTGTATAATTTTGATCTTGTACGCCTCTCTATAAAAAGAAAGCCTAGTTTGAAAAAATGTGACAGAACTTTCCCGCCAACCTAATATTATACACTACCTTTCTGGATAATATGTGGTTGTTAGAACTTTGAAATGTATTTATACTTCTTTACACATGCTGCATCCGAACATTGGCACGCAATGTCCCACGCGGCAAAAAAGTTGCGTCACATTGCCATTTGCGTCCCAGCAATGGGACGCAAATGGCAATCTTGTGGATCCGTCATTCGCATGTTTCTTTTGTCATTTATGGGCTCTAATGTACATATTCGAGGTTGTTTATAGCGCCCTACGGTATACGTGAAAAAGGACGCAAGATTGGAAAGAAGCCAAGAAAGGAACACTGGACTTTGGACGGCAGTGAACAGTGGGTATCTATGGTAGAATGAGGTCAATTCATGTGGTTAAATTGCTGAATTTAGTGAGTACCATTTCCCGGAAAAACAGCCGTACTCCTTGGAGAAGACATTCACTGATTTATGTGATCTCGCTGCCAAGACACTTCTTATTGGAGGAAAACTGTCCTTCTGGTTTCCTGTCATTCTTGAAAGGTAGGAAATCTCCTGTATCTCGTGGACATTAAAAGGAATAGATCTAAACCAGTAGCATAAGTCTGCAGTTTGACACCTTGAAATAGATAGGTACTCTCATTTGAAACTTTTCTCCCTTCTAAGAGTTTGGCAGGAGCTTCCTCTTTGCTTCACACTTACTCAAAGGCACGTCCCGGATAGCCCTTCCCTGAATAAGGGGGAACGGGGGAACTGTCCGCAAGTCATTAGCACTTTCGTGGATGGAAAGGATGCGTGGTAGATGCATCTACTCACGACTAAGGCAAGGTCCCGCCCGTGCCTCACACCACGCCCAACACTCACTTCTAACGGCTACCTGATGATGCGGTTGTTCCGCAATTAGTTGTTCCCTTTCTGAATGGCGAGTGAGGTGATAAGGATAAAGAGCTGAACAAGTGACAACTCGCAGAGCGCAGCCTTTCAATGTTCGTACATGCATTGGTCGAGGTAAGTCACTTGTGCAATATGGACTTGGACGGTTTCTTCCTACAGTTCCTTCATTGTTAAGTGACGTACCATCAGTTCACTAATATTCAATCTAGGGACGTACCTTTAAGAATTATGAAGTGGTTCAAGTAAACTAGATGTGAACTTGTTCAGTTACTCAGAAGAATGTCTCCCCGTTCATCCGGCTCTGCGCCTTGTCGCAAACTGTGAGCAACGGCTTTCTCGGAAGACTAGCAGGTAAATTCTAGCAATGCTTCTATGAGTTTTGTAGCCATTTTGGTCCCTTAGGTAATTGTCTAGTAGATAGGTAAAAATGCAATGCTTTCTGCTGAGGTGCTCATACAGCAACTAATTGGCCGAGAATTTGAGAGGGGGGGGGGAATGAGAGAGTGGCGTGCCTAAAACATATGAAATCCAGGAAGAGTTGTCAGATCAATTACATCCTTCATACAACCAAATGCTACCCTTTTTTGGCAGCGTGGCAAATCTCCGTCGGTCAGGTCGTCCAGGTACCCATGCACACCCAGTTTTTGCCGTGCAGCCATTAGCATGATGCGAACCATTTTTTCCAATATATTAATTAGGGACTAAGATTCATCAATAGTTCTATGAACTTTGATGATGTGCTGTAGAGCCTTTTGAAACTGGAGCTTTGAGAAAGCTTCATCTTTTCCAGGTCATAGGTCCAGAAGTCTGTTTTGGCCTAATACCATTCGTTAGATTAGAGTTATTTAGACACTCGGTCGAGTAATACGATGCCAAAGGACCAGAAAGGCATAGATGGAAATGTTCACCGTCCCACTGAGGATGTACCGCTTGCGGGTTGGTAGGGAGCCTGATTGGTAGGGACCTGACCGCTCGGGAGGCTTGCACGCACCCCCTCCCCCTCCCCCCGCCCTGAGTTATAGAATTCTCAAATCCCTAACGATGGTGTGCTCTGTTAGCCGCCGTCACGAATTCTTATTGTTGCACTTTACGCTTTGATAGTTTCAACATTTGCAGGCGACTATTAGTGTACCAGAAATTTCGTGAGCCAGAGTCAGGGGAACAGTCCTGGTATCCTGCAAATCAATATGAGAATAAAAGTTTCCGGGATATCACCTTTGAACCGAAACGGATATTTTAGTACAAAGTGGAGTTGTTATTTTGTTATCTGTTGTTGTTGATTGTATAAATTTTGCCTCTATCATGTTATGGATGAAAAATGTGGTATCTGATGTGAACGCCGCTAAATTGATTCACCCTCCACGAAGCTTTTCCCACTGCACTCCGGCAAGAATCATCGTCTACTTGGCTTGCAATCACAAGAGCGCTGAGATATGGGTAAAAGCGGAACCTGGGAGGGGGCTCGAATCCGTATCTCCCGCATACCAGGCGGTTGCGTTATCCATTCCGCTACCGTGGCCACCCCCTCTCAGCTCAATAGCTTATTTTGTGCCATTGCCTTCGAGCACTCATACGTTGAACGTGAGCAGGTTAGCCATTATCGGCAGTGACCCGAAGACTTTTTATATGTTTTGAAGTTGTTTTTATTTTTAGCATTTAACATATCAGGCACAACTTCAGAACATGTAAAAAGCCTTTGCCTTGCGGTTCACTGCCGATACCGGCTAACCGACTCATCGTGTTGAAAGTGTGAGTGCTCGAAAGTCATGGCACAAAAAAGCCGTTGAGCTGGGAGGGTAAGAAGAGCGCTAAACAGCAGTTATCATATCAAAAACAACTTCGAAACTGGTAGTGTGTCGTGCAGCCCTGTTCGCTGCGGATGAGAAGGCGTGTCAGGCGGAATTCTTCGGCACTGCACCCAGCCTGTTCTCCACTAGTTGTTGAAGCATGTAAGTGACTGCGATGGATAGAAAACGACTGAAAAGAACGTTATGGTAAGTCACCAATAGGTTCACTCATATGAACCATTTCAAATTCTTAACAAGTATCTGCTTGCATGGACAAAGATCACTTACCCTAAAATGTTACACCCTTCCAGCACCTCGTCGTGGAGCGTAAAGCGCGGCGCACTTTCAGACGAAGGTTGTCGATTGATGGCAACAGAGATCATGCTCTCACTCGGTTTGGCGGGAATATACGTTTTGAAGGCATATTAAAGGCAGGTGGCACGATGGTTTCCTAATTAGCCTAAAAAGCTAGTAGGGCGCTGTATAGTGGGAAATGGCGAAAGAACGGAGTGAAACGGTCAAAATCCTGCGAAGAAAAAGCCTTGACTTGTAAATCGATTTCGGACGAGTTTCCCGTAGGCATCTTGCCAATCACCGCTACCG